TTCATACCCTCCATCTCTGCCTCCACAGTCTGACTTGCAGCAACCACTCAACTACCCCTTGGAGAGGACAGCAGGCGTTGTCTGAACTTCACAAGTGGAGTTTTGCTCAAGAATATTCTCAAAGTATTCTTTAGAGACTGTTAAACTGTTTTACCCTTGTGTAGCTAGGAGGTTGGTGAAGGGAAAATTGACTTCATACCTTTCTTCAAGTTTTATTTTTCCAATGACTACTACTTTTATAATTAAAAAACAAAACAGAGTTCCATTTTATAAGAAGGAAGGAAGGAACTTATTCTAATATGATTCCAGAAGTCCCTTTTGGAACCTGGGAAAGATAAGAAATTTCCAAAATTATTTCACTATCTTAAGAGGAATTAATCTAAGATGTAAAAAGATTAAGCTTTACTGAGGACTCGTTGCGTGGCAGGTACTATACAAAATTATTTAGACCTATTAGCTTGCTAAATTCCTACAAGTTTTAAAGCGAGAGAGAGAGAGAGAGAGAGAGAGAGAGAGAGAGAGAGAGAGAGAGAGAGAGAGAGAGACCTGTGATTTGTATGTTACAGATGAGGGCCCTGAGACATGTGGTGAGAGTGGCAGAGGTCATGGTCCTATCACCCCCTGCCACATGCTCCTGTCTTCTATATTGTAAAAGAATGAGAAGGTGCAAATCTGGGGTTCTCTTCCTAGGACCCCCAGCTGCCCTCTGTTCCAGACAGAGCACACATCTCTCTCCTTTGTGCCTGCATTCTTAAAGTCAGCCACTGCTGTTGAGCAGCTCAGAGAAAAACAGATGGGCACTGAGCATGATGATGAGGAGAAGAAATTTCCTGGGATCAAGGTTGGAAAGAAGGTCCGCTCTTTAGTCCTCTACCTCGCAGGGTGTATGCAAATAGACAAGGGGAGTGGAAGACATTTTTGAAAGCCAGAAGAAGTGGACATACAGTGAGCCAAGGCCACTTCCAGCACAGCACATAGAGGTGGCCTAGGACCCTGTGTAGGGGTCAGGGACAGTGTCCTGTGCTGCCCGGCTGGGGCACCTGACCCAGAGCGGGACCAGGGGAAAGGGGCCTCTGCCTGCCAACTTGGGCTCTTCTTCAACAGTGAGCCATCAGCCAGAGAAATGACTTCTTCCCTAAGTTCTTGGGCCATTAGCCAACTAGCTGCTAATTAACTTGTGCATAAATTCCAACAGGAAGGTTAGAAAATTCAATCTCAACGTCAGCAATGGAGTTCATGCTCCAAAACCTGGTCTTACCAGTATCCTAAATAAACCTCTGTATCACACAAAATATGGCCTCAGCCTGACTTCAGAATAGCCAGAGGCAACAGGCAAGGTCACAACCTCACAGCCCTCTGTAGCCAGCCGCAGACCAAGAGCTATGCCGACTACCCTTACAGCCCTTCTGGCGACAGCTTGAAACACAGCAACATGGAAACAGATTGCAGGTGCTCATCACCCACACAATCTAAGAGTAAGAAGGAATGGGGGCCCTTTAGGAGAAAGGAAAAAAAAAAACAAACACGTGTGTGTTGTTTGTTAGGAGAGCTTCCAACACAGACTTTTAAGTTACATCTATGAGGTATCAACCCAATGAGTTGGAAGGTTCTGGAGCATTTCAGACTAGAAGATTAAATATTTAAATGAACACCTATTGCAAGGAGGGTATTGTCCTAGGCCAAGTAGGTAAGCAGTGGGGTGTGGGGTTCTCAACCACAGCACAGACATCTCAAGGGGAAGTAACAGGCAGCTGCTAACTGCCTGGTACAGGAAGATATTATGTGGCCCAGGAAGGCATGAACCCTATGCCAGCCTGATGGGCAGGGAAGGCTACAGAGGAGGTACTTGACATAGTCCTGAAGGCAGAAGGGAATTTTTCTAGACCTGTGGCCCCATATCACCTGAGAAAGCTCTAAAAAAAATGCAGATTCTGAATGCCATACCAGAACAACTGAATTAAAAGTTATAGGAATGTTACCCTGGAGTCATTATTCTTAAAACAAAACAAAACAAAACAAAACTGTTATTATTATGGCAAATGAAAAAAAAAATGCTCCAAAGTCAACAAAACAGTGAACCCCCATGCACCTGTCACCTAGCTTCGACAACCAGCAACTCATGGGAGCCCCTTTCTCCATTATGAAATCCACATATTTTCAAGCCAGGGATCCTGAGACAGTCAGACCATGGATGTGAAGTGGGAAGCCCTGATGAAGATACAGATTGGGAACAAGGGAACCCCAGGGACAGTGGGGAAATGGGCTCAGAGAAATGAAAGAGGATGTTATTTGGGGGAGAATGGTGAATAATTTGGAATACCTGGAGGGTGAGAAACACAGGGGCAATGGTGATGATGGGATTAAAAGACAGGAGGGGTGGGGGCACTTGGGCCCTGTTAGTGCATATGGAGGTGACTCTCCTGGGTAGGAGGTTAAGCAGGTGTGGGTTCCACCCCACTGGTTGCCTGTGCCCTTCATGCCCATGTTCTGCCCAAGCCACAGAGAATGCACAGTAGCCCCAGGACCAGGGTGTAAGGGGTTCTGAGGTCAGCAAAGGAGTGTGGGGTGAAGGATGCTAAGAAGGGGAATATGTGACAGCTTTGAAACAACAGTGAAGTGCAACGGAGAGTAGCCCAGAGGTCAGAAAACAGCCGGTGAATGTATCAAGTCAGTTAACCATTGCAAACAAGCCAGGGAAGAAGGAAGCGTGGAGGGCAGTACTAGGAGACTGAGTCCGTAACCTGTGGAATCCAATGCTGTCTCCAGGACAGGGTCAGAATTCAGCTGAATTCTGGACACTGTGCTGGTGTCTGAGAATTTCTTGTTGGTGTGGGGAAGCCCCGTACGCCCATTCCCATTGGAAGGCCTGGGGAACCCTTCCATCACCCAACAACAACTGGCCTTGAAGTGTGGCTACCTTTTCACTAATCTAACACCTCTGCTTCTGACCAACTTTATAAAGAGCCTTGGGGCAGAGATTACGGCTTTAAACTAATTGCGGTCGATGGTCACGCATTGACTGTTTACTATGTGCAAGACAAAAAGTGGTGGAAAGTATGAGAAGGAATTTGAGGAGTTAAAAGGCAAAGTAGAAATGGCCCTGAGGAGAGCGTGCTGCTTAGTGAAGTATCCACATGCCTGACCCTACCCCAGGTGAGCCACGGCAGGAGCAGAAATGAAAAGCTCAGATTACAAATCCTTCACAAACTGCCAATGAAAGTGGGGGCTGGTGGGTTGGAGAGACTCACTCAGGCTGGTGGGACCGGGCTTCTGCAGGTGGGAAGTGTTGCATGAAGGTTCTGGACAGAGTGGGTACAGGGGATGGCATAAATCCAGGGAAGGTGGGAGCTGGCGGGCGAGTCTCAAGGAAGCTAGGAATCTTGGTGGGTTCAAAACAAGCTAAGCAGCTTGGTGGGAAGTGAGGAGAGAAAGATGTATGGGGCTGTAATAGACACAACTGAAGGTGACCCCAGTATGTTCTGCTCTGGTAGAAACCCACCATCTTCTCCCTTCAGCATGGGGGAAGCGGAGGCTGAATTCCAGACAACAGAATATGCAAGAGGCAAGGGGATATCATTGACGGATGATGTGACATTAGAGGGCAAAGGCCACGGGATTTTGCAGATTTAATTGAAGTCCCTCATCCTTTGATTTTGAGTTAAACAAAAAAGGAGATTATCCTGATCAATTTGTTCTAATCAAGTGAGCCCATTTATTTATTTATTTGTTTGTTTGTTTGTTTGTTTGTTTGTACAAGCACTGGGTACAGTCAGGAGAGGGTGTGACTGGCTGACAGCTCTCAGGCTTAGAGGCCCTGGGCACAGAGGCTCCTTGTCTGGACTCTGGACTCCCGTGAATGGTGAGACAATAAGTGGGTATTATTTTAAGCCACTAAGTTTACGGGGACTTGTTACTGAGCAATAAGAATCCACTGTATGGATTCACAGTGTGGAGGGGCATGACAAGCAGGCTGAAAAAACATGGGCTTTGTTCTGCAGGCCAAAGGAAGCCACTGATTTTTGAGTACAGAGGCATACTTCAGGAAGCTAAGAGATGGTGGCAGGCAGGGAAGCTTGAGATGGGAGTGGTATAAACTCCCCCCACACCTCTGCCCCAAGAACATTTAGTCAAGGCATTGCTCCCAGGAGTGGGCCAGTAAAGTTCTAGTGAGTTAAGCCAAGTCAGCTTCACTTTTACCCAATTAAAAAAGAGGAGGAAACAAAACCAACTAAAGAAATTGACAGTCCTGAAAAAACTTTAAGGGACTTTAGTGTCCTTGTTGCTAATTATACTTACTCCTCCCAGAATTCCTGACCTCATAGAAGAGCCTGCGTAAATAGCCCTGCTCCCTTACTGGAAAGAGAGAGAGAGAGAGAGTGTGTGTGTGTGTGTTTGTGTGTGTGTTTGTGTGTTTTCCCTCTGTGTTTTCTTGGAAGGGGGACAGGGCAGTAATAAGGGACTAGATGATCCACAAAGAGTCACTTCCTGTTGGATATTGTCTAGTTCCCTTCCCCCCCCATCATAAACCCTGAGACACCCCCCCCCCCACCCCCAAGCAACTCCTCCTTCTCTGATTCTATCTACTGGAGACAACTAAGCCAAACAAACTCAGGAAGTGGCAAGAGGTTGGGAAGGGGCGGAAGTTCATGGCACAGAAGGAAAAAGTAAAGAGAATGTCCTGATGTTCAAGGAAGAGGGTGGGAGAAAGAAATGAAGGTCACTCCAAGGTCGCTCGGCGCCAAGCCTTTAAAATGTCGTGCTTGGGCTTTCAATCAAAGCTGGCACAAACAGTGGGTCAGATCTCCTGGGGCTATTCAAATATTAACATTCACAGTGATAAACAGCCCCCCAAAAAGTCCTCTGTAAGCAAATTGGAACAAACAACTAATCTAAAGCAGGTTGCTAAGAGACCAGTTGGGCAGGAGCCAAAGTCAGTTCAAGTGTCTGGAGAAGCCTTTATTTTTTCACTTGCAGGAAAGAAAGGAGGAGAAGCGAGGTACCTGTAGATGACCCCATGTTGGTGGAGGAACATGAGGGCTGATGTAACCTCTGCAGCATAGAATCGGGAGCGAGGCTCATCAAATTTGCGGGAGCGCTGAATCTGGAACATGAGGTCTCCACCGTTCACATACTCCATGACAAAAAAGAGGCGGTCCTGAAAAGAGAGGAGAAAATGTCATTTAGCTAATTCCATTGCAGCTGCCGATGTGGATGAGCATTTTGGATCCCAGCGCAACAGAACCAGGACTCCAGGGGGAAGAAGATGCAAGGGTGGATGAGTCCTGGTGATATGCAACCTGGAGAGAAGATGAATGCAGCATGTGAATTGGGGTATGAGGTCTTATTTTAGAATCTCTTTCTGTGTCTTAATTTTATGAGCATCAGCTTAGTCTAGTGGAAAAGGCCAAAAACTGACAGCAAGGAAAACTGGGTTTTGACTTCTCTGACAACCTTGAAGTACAGTCTTGGACAAGTCTCTGTCCCCCTTTGGAGGCTCCAGTTACCTTTATATGTGTGGTAGATCAAATAATTGTTCCTCAAAAGATATCCATGTCCTAATGCCTTAATATGTAAATGGTATCTTAAAAAAAAGGACTTTGAGATACGTTGAGGTTCAGAATTTTGACATGGGGAAATTACCCAGGATTATTTGATAGGCCCTAAATGTAATCACAAGGGTGTTTATAAGAAGAGACAGAGGGCGATCTGAGAAGGGAGAAGCAACGTGAGCATGAAGCCAATGGTTGGAAGATGTGGCCATAAGCCAAAGAAAGCAGCTGTGACCAGAAGCTGGAAGAGGCAAGAAAGAACCTCTCCTAGAGTCTCTGGAAGCGCCTGAAGAATGCATCTTACTCTTTCAGCAGTCCCCATCACCATTAGCTCACAACTACGTATTCAATAAAAACCTGTTCACAGATTCTTGCTCTCTGTGAGCCAGTGGAGGGATTTTTGTCAGTTTAGTTCTTTACTGTCTCCCCAGTGATTGGAACTGTGCCTGGCACATCCTGGGTTCTTCATCTGTACATTGTTTTCCAATGCAGTTCTTCAACACCCACTGTGGATAAGGTTCTAGTTGCTGGAAATTCAATAGAAACCAGAGTTGGTTTCCCTGTGTTATTTCTATTGTTAACCTCATTTCAAGTTATTCTAATTTTAGACCAATTTGAACTTCAATTTTAACTTGCTTTCAACTCAGTACAGCTCCATGTGCATGGCCCCAAAGCATAATGGGCCCTTCTTAACACAGGAGGGATGGTTTAAGGTAAGATCAGTTTTTCATGTCCCCTCCTTCCATTCAGTGAGAGTGAATTGTTTCTGACCTCCACACCTAACACATTTGAGAAGTGTGTTTTGATGCTGAGTGAGAACCTCAAGTCATTCTGGGAACTACTTAATTACATAAACTGAAATCAAAAGAAAGCTGGCAAACCCAGCGGCTACTCATTAATCCTCTCCTGGCATCGGTCGAAAATAAAGCAAAACAAAAACCAGCTTCCTGGTAAAGTAAGCAAATATGTTTTCTGAGGTAATCAAAGATTTTAAAAGCTTTATTCCACCTCCTCCTCCCTTAATCTCACCTGAATGCCTAAAAAGTTACGGTCTTGTGATAGCAAGTAAAATAATAAAATTAGGAAAGCGATTGTGTGTCATGCCCATGTAGGGTAAGAACAGTTAATAATGACCTATAAGCCGGAAGGGCCACCCTCTGTGTTTGAAATGGCCATTGGGCTCCATTTTCCCAGAGCACTAACCGTTCCTGCCTTTGAAGGGAAATCTAGGCCCACCCTGGTCATCTTTCAAGGTGTGATGGATAGTCAGAGGCTTCCTCTCCCTGGCACTGCATGTCCTGCCAATTGGGTTTGTTTGGACACACATTCTCCATTATTTGTCAGCTGTTTATATGTGCAGAGATTCTATCGCTTTTGAGTCAATTTCACATGAGTACCCAACAAAAGATTGGGCTTGGATCAGTTCGCCTTTGATGTGCCAGTGACAGGATGAAGGATTTCTCCAACGTGCCATGTAAGGGATGCATGGTTGCTCACGTCATACTCTGCGACATCTCCTTTTCCTCTCCACGTCTACATCATTTATCCCATCCATCCAACGGAACTTTTCTGGGTACCCAGCATTAGGGTCAGTGCCTGGGGGTCTGGGAGACCATATAGGCATGGCTTTGGTCTCCAAGAGCTAGGAATTCAATTCAAGAAACCATAGAAAACAACACAAAACGCTCTCTCGTTATGTGCTACACTCTCTTGTAGCAATGCTGATTATAAAACCTCTCTAGCTGGGTTGTATCTTCTTAACCCTCCTGCTAGAGATCGTCTGTCATCCAGACCTTAGCACTCATTATAAGAAACATTATGAGATCGTTATAAGAATCAGTCACAAGAAAACCCTATTATATGCTATTTCCCATCTTACAGCTAGATTTGGTATAACTGGCCATTGCTATAGAAAGCTGGTGAGACACATCTGAATTAGAGAAAGGACCACACTTGAATAAGAAAGACCTGAAACAATGAAGATGGGAGGAGGAGGAGCCTGGTGAAATAGAAGCACAGTCCTGGAGGGAAGAGGTGAGCCAAAATGAACCTGTGTGTGGGGATGAGGAGGGCTGGAGTGAGCCAGTACCAAAAGTTGCTAGCTAGGAAAACCTGGATATGGTAGGAAGGAGACAGACTGGGTGTAGTGGGGCTGAGGGGAGAGGGTTCTGATAACAGTTGGGGAGTAAAATGTCCTAGAAATCTTCTGAGTTGCAAAAACGACATAACTAATGATGACTTTAAGAAAAAAAAAACTATTCTGGAGGCAGAGTTCAAGGTGGATTAGAAGACAATAACCTGGAGTGATTTCATTTCTTCCCTATTTCCATGGTACTGAATGCTTCATAGGAGTCAAAAGTATCCCCCTCTCATCTCTGTCACACTTCCTAGAGAGAGTCATGGGAAAGACACACCTATTTTGGAAAACTTAACCAAATCACCTTTACTTCCCTGCCACCAAAAAAAAAAAAAAAAAAAAAACCCAAAAAAAAACAAACCATAAAATCCAAGCCCCCTCCCAAAAAAACCACACACACACAACCATCATCACCCATACAGCCAATATATGAGAGGAATTTTCCAGCTCTTAAGCAGACATACTTTATATGCACCATAGGCAGAGCTTTATTTAATTGGTGTCACAGACCTGTCAATTCTATTGCTGAAAAGGAGGTATAGAAAATAAAAAGGAAGTATCTTTCTTTTTACTACAGTCTTCCCTGTCAATGAATGAGTCTCATCTGAATAATGGTTATGATTAGTGATGTAAATTTCCCTATGCTACAAAAAAACAATAATCATCACCAGATGTCTAAAAAATGATTTGCACGCATTCTAAGTCCTCCCTCCATCTGCCATTGTTCAGGACTCACTCAGGTGTAAAGATCTTGTGGTCTTTCTCAAATTCAGATTTATCTCAACCAAATTCCTAAGCAATGGCCAATTCCACAACACCTATGCAGGTGGAAAATACAGAATGGCTAATCACATGGCTGTTTCTTAAAATGATCTTAAAAAAGCCATACAAGGCAGAACCCTGGTAAAAGGGGAGATATGCCTGTTTTCTTGTAAGAAAGCCTTAATCTAATCAGAATTGGTTAAAACAGTAATAATTCTATCCTACAGTGGATGATAAGGAGTGAACTTCTTATGTGTTCATTTGGTATTTGTTTCCAATTGCTTAAAACTATGATGATTTGACTTAACAGTTTAAAGTTACCGCAAACTATACCAAACTGACCTACCCAATAAAGCTCAAAAAACCACTTTCTGTCTCTGATTAGGGCTACACATTGCCCAGGGAACAACTTTTAGTTACTGTCAACCGCCCCACACAGTATCATCCTATGTGTGCACAAATAGGGAGAAAGGAGAAGAGATTTGGTCTAACACACTGGAAAGCACTTTCCTTGTATCATCGGTATCTGATGAAACAACGTCTCTGTCATGTGACCTAAGTGCCTATGGAACAGCCCCCGAGAGGCCATGGTCCAAAGCACTGACCACCACAGTGACCTGCTGTGAAAAATAGCAGCTTTGACACTGAAGTGGGAACAAGAACTTGTCACTGGTTTTTCTCTTTGAAAATGACAGAATCCAGAGGGTTCAGAGTTGGCACATGGCCAATAGAAAATCCTGCAGTGTAAGGCCTCCCCGGTGCAGCAGTTGAGTGCTGGGCTGCAAAGCTGCCTGCAGCCTCTGCAGTGCCAGTTCAATCCCCAGTCACTGTGCGAGGGTCCCACACGGCGCGCAGACCTCTCCTGCCGCCCGCTGCTCCCCTCAGCAGTGTACTTCGTCAGAATGCCTGTTCTGCTCTCTGCTCTGTTTCTGGTGAATTCTCTCACCCTCCCCCGCTTCTGACTGTATCCCAGGGCTTGCATAAATAAATAAATAAATCTTTAAAAAAAAAATCCTGCAGTGTAGTTTGCCCAGGTTCTTCCTTTAGGTCCATGACATCATCACTGCAAGTGGCTGGTCCCTTGGCATCACCTCACAGTGCTTCCTTCTGGTTTGACCCACAGACTGCTCTCTGCATCAAGTGCACTCCTGGGCATGTCAGTAGAAGCTGTCAGGACCTCATCAGCCCAAATCAGTGGCCTGGTCATTTTACAGAGGTGCCAGGTTCTGTGCTGTGCCCACCTAGGATGGCATGACCACTGTGTGGTGCACCTGAGCATGTGTTCATTCTGGGGAAGATGTTGACATAGACTAAATCTGTCTTTGATGATACCAAGAGATAACTTAAACAGAAAACATCAATTGCTCAATGGAGTCCATTAGCACCAGGAGTCACCTGTTTGAAGCCAAAGTTAAGAACCTATGGAATGTTCTGTGTGATTTTAAGGATAAGAATAAAAGTTCTAATCTGATTTCTCCAGCTCTGGCAGGGCCCAGAGTTGTGCTCTTTGTCAACACTCTTTCTACAGAGGACATGCTGGAGTTCTGATTTCCAGCAGACTGGTGCACCCACGATTGTAAATAAAGTCTACAGTCTTGGGTTAGGTCAATCCTTAAACTGTATTATTGCTGCTACTGTTGTTGCTGTTTTCTCTATCTTTGTTTTTTGGTTTTTTGCTTCATTTTATTTAGAAAGTTATTTGCTAAC